GTTTTGGGCCCCTCACCCCAAAAAGGCCACTGAATGACTCGAGCGTGGCCAGAGAAGGGCAACGGAGCTGGGGCAGGGTCTGGAGCACAGGTCTGCTGGGGAGCGGCTGGGGGAACTGGGGGGGTTCAGTCTGGAGAAGAGGAGGCTGAGGGGAGACCTCCTGGCCCTCTGCAACTCCCTGCCAGGAGGGGGCAGAGAGGGGGGATGAGTCTCTGGAGCCAAGGCCCCAGCGCCAGGCTCCGAGGGAATGGCCTCAAGCTGCCCAGGGCAGGGTCAGGCTGGCTCTGAGGAAGGATTTCTGTGCAGAAGGGGCTGTTGGGCGTTGGAATGGGCTGCCCAGGGCAGGGGGGGGTCCCCGGGATCCCTGGAGGGGTTGAAGAGTCGGGCTGAGCCAGCGCTGAGGGATCTGGGGGAGTTGGGAAGGGTCAGGGTGGGGTTCATGGTGGGACTGGAGGAGCTTCAAGGGCTTTTCCAGCCAGGATGATTCTGTGATTTGCTGCTGTAGATGTGCCTGGAGCAGCTCCTAGCAGTGTGGCAGCTAAGGGGGCTTCCCCAGAGAGTTACAGCAGGGAGGGGGCCCCAGCATTCCAAGGGATTACCCATGGGGAGCTGGGACTCAGACCCACCCTGCTTCAACCCTCCTTCCCTTCCAGCTTTGCCTCCAAAACCGCCTAAGCCAAAGCCCAGTGCAGCCAGTTTGGCCAACGGGAACAGTGTGCCCTTGCAGGACGCCGAGTGGTACTGGGGTGACATTTCTCGGTAAGGTGGGGGCTGGCATCTCACGTCCTGGGTGCCCTGTCTATGGAGTTATTATCTAGGGGGGCTCTGACTGCACCTCCCAGGCCATGACGATGCTGTTCCTTGCAGGGAGGAGGTGAACGAGAAGCTACGGGACACACCGGATGGGACCTTCTTGGTGCGTGATGCCTCCAGCAAGATCCAGGGGGAGTACACGCTGACGCTCAGGTAGGGGTGTTGGTGTCCCCCCAGAGCTCCAGGCTGGGGGGTCTGCGCGTGTCCCCAGGCTTGGGGCTGCTGTCGGGTGCTGGGGTGGTTAAGTGCCCTCTCCTCTGCCCTCCCCGCTGCAGGAAGGGAGGCAATAACAAGCTGATCAAGATCTTTCACCGGGAAGGGAAGTACGGCTTCTCGGAGCCCCTGACTTTCGGCTCGGTGGTGGAGCTCATCACCCATTACCGGCACGAGTCACTCGCCCAGTACAACGCCAAGCTGGACACCAGGCTGCTCTACCCCATCTCCAAGTACCAGCAGGTGAGGCCTGTGCTGCAGGGACACACCTCCAGCTGGAACCGGGGCTGTTTCCCCATCCGTGCCTGGCCCTTAGGTAGACGACAACGTGTCCCCCCTCCTTTCCTGTTGCTTAGTGGGGTGACTGCCAGGCCTCCTGCAGGGCTGGTGGGGTTTTGTGGGACCGGCTGCTGTAGGGCAGGAGCAGGTCCTGACTGAGGCTGTGCCTCTGGCAGGACCAAGTGGTGAAAGAGGACAGCGTGGAAGCCGTCGGGGAGCAGCTGAAGGTTTATCACCAGCAGTACCAGGACAAGAGCTGGGAGTACGACCTGCTGTACGAGGAGTACACGCGCACCTCCCAGGTACATGGGCACTGCCTTCCCCTTCACAGAATCCCAGAATCATCCAGGTTGGAAAAACCCTTGAAGCTCCTCCAGCCCAACCATGAACCCCACCCTGACCCTTCCCAACTCCCCCAGATCCCTCAGCGCTGGCTCAGCCCGACTCTTCAACCCCTCCAGGGATCCCGGGGACTCCCCCTCTGCCCTGGGCAGCCCATTCCAACGCCCAACAGCCCCTTCTGCACAGAAATCCTTCCTCAGAGCCAGCCTGACCCTGCCCTGGGCAGCTTGAGGCCATTCCCTTGGAGCCTGGCGCTGGGGCCTTGGCTCCAGAGACTCATCCCCCCTCTCTGCCCCCTCCTGGCAGGGAGTTGCAGAGGGCCAGGAGGTCTCCCCTCAGCCTCCTCTTCTCCAGACTGAACCCCCCCAGTTCCCCCAGCCGCTCCCCAGCAGACCTGTGCTCCAGACCCTGCCCCAGCTCCGTTGCCCTTCTCTGGCCACGCTCGAGTCATTCAGTGGCCTTTTTGGGGTGAGGGGCCCAAAACTGAACCCACTCACCGAGGGGTGGCCTCACCAGTGCCGAGCCCAGGGCTCAGATCCCTTCCCTGTCCCTGCTGGCCACACCAGTGCTGACACAAGCCAGGATGCCATTGGCCTTCTTGGCCCCCTGGGCACACTGCTGGCTTGTGTTCAGTGGGCCGGCAACCAAGCCCCTCAGGTCCCTCTCTGACTGGTAGCTTTCCAGCCACTCCTCCCCAAGCCTGTAGCTGCTGGGGGTCTCGAGATGAGTCTTTAACTGGCCTCCAGGCACAGCTGGGCTGCAGAAACACTCTCAGCAACCCACTCACGGGGGCAGAGACTCCACAACCACGACGCACAAACGCCAGCGCTTTGGGCACCAAGGAAGGGGCATCTCAGTACCTGGAGGCAACTGTTCCGGCTCCAGCTCCTTTGTCTGCAGAAGCATCTCCAAAAACAGGGCAGAGAAGTCAGGGCTCAGCTCTGGGCTGCAGGGAGAGAGGAGCCAAATAAGAGCAGTGGTTGTGGGGGAGAATTTGGCACTGCTCCCGTGCCCGTGGGGAAAGGGGCAGCCATAGTCAGCTGGTTCAGCCCAGCTGCCAGATCCCAGGCTGACACAGAAGCAAGAGCTCCGCTGCGGCTTTGAGTCCCACCTCTGTGTGCTGCCAGCACTTTAATCCCAGGGGCAGCGAGGCAGGGGCTGTGGGCAGACCTGCCGTTACAGGCTGGACTCCTCGTCCTGGCAGGCACAGCTCGGTACACGGCTGGAACCCGAAAGCCTCACGTACCTGGCGCCAGGCAGCCGGAGGAGAAGGGGACCAAAGATCTCTCCCAGGGCGCGAGGGTGGAGGCTGTTGCTCTCGGCCTGCTGCGATACCTTCCCCAGATGCCGGAGCAGGAACTGCAGGGTGAGCGTGTTCTGGAGCGGGACCGCAGGCGACTCCAGGGCCAGCAGCAGCTGCTTCCGGCAATTCTCCGGCTGGGGGATCTCTGGGGAGGGAACAAGGCACGATGGAAGGGCTGGGACAGCCGGCACCGCTCTCCACGCTCCGGCCGTGTCACAGCATGGGAGCGCTGTCAGCAGCGGGGGCTGTGGGCCAGACCCCATAGGGACAGGATTTATTTTAATTCCCCAAAACATGCCCGTCCCGCCTGGCCGCCGGTTTCCAGGGGAGGCCCTTACCCTGCAGGACACGAAGGATGTCTCCGTGCACCGACACCGGCACCACAGGGGAGGGCAGGTCCTGCAGGTAACCTCGCAGCGCCTCGCCCAGGGAGTGCACGTCAAAGGGCTCCAGGTCGCCCAGGGTCCAATCTGCTGGGGCACAGATTTCCCATGGCACAGGGGCACCCAGCTGGCAGCTCCAGCACCCGGCCTGGAGCCCATCACACACCACCCGGCCAGCTACCCCGGGACACGGCACCACGAGGGAGCTCACAGGACAGAGGATGCCTGGAATTGCCCCCAGCACCCCAGAAACAAGCCAGGTCTAGGAATTTAGACAGGTCCCCCCATCCTGGGAAGGGGCAGAGGTCATTTTGGGTGCCCACACCCTGAGCCCTGCCACAGGAATCCAGGACACGCACGACTCGGGGAGAGTTTTATTCCCTGTGTCGTAGAGACAAGCGCAGGCTGAACCCAGCAGGAAAAAGGTCTCCCTTGAACCAAGGCGCAGCCTGCGGGGGCAGCACATAAAGCCTGTCCCAAATGCAGAGCAGCCAGAGGTGACAGCACCGCATAGCTGGGGCTTACGAGAACGTCTGCGGAAGGGGACAAGCCAGCGTGGGGCTGGATGAGGCCCAAGCTCAGCCGAGAGGCAGACAGCTCCGCAGGCTCCCCGGCAGAGCCATCAGCTGCTGGCACAGCAGAGCCAAGGCTCCAGCCACCAAGCTGAGCTGAAAGATCCTCCCCTGCTTATTAGTGGCGTGACAGAGCCAGAGAAGCCTCAGCCAACCCATCAGCGGGGCACCCCGAGAGCGGGGCACCCCGAGGAGACCGTGAGAGGCGAGCACAGGGGTCACTCGTTGGCCTGTGAGTCTCCGAGCTGGCGCCGCGTCCCTTTGTCCAGGGATGGTGGCAGGAGTGTCATGTCGCCCCCCCTTTTCCCATCCCTTCCACGCAGGACGGGGACGTGTCGGGATGGGGACAGCCCAGCCCCACAGGCAGCGTGCTGGGAGTCAGGAACCGCCGGGGACAGGCGAGCCTGGCCTGGATTGCATTACTGCTGGCGCTGTCACATCCACTAATCTCCTCCATCTGAGCCGATTCGCCTCCTCACCACGCCGAGCTGGTTCTTACCGGTTCTCAGCGCTTGCCGCAGTTCGGAGCCAGATGACCTGTACAACATCTCGCCGTCTAACCCTGCGGAAGCGGGGACGCTGCTCTGAGCTGCGAGCTCGGCTGCTCCCAGCACACGCACCGTTTCACTGCCAGCCCGGCAGGCCAGCGGCTGCGGCACGGTTAACTGGGCCTGGATGGTGTCCAGACCAACCCCCTCGGCCCCCAGGACTCCCAGTTCAGTGGCCCCATGGCACAGATCCCAAACCCCAGCACCCACGCGGGGTGCGCAGGCCGTCCTGCGTGCAGACCCAGCGCCCTCACCCCAGGCCTCTGTGCAGGACGGTGCAGCGGGGTCAAGCCCAGCTCAAGCCCAGTTTAAGCCAGGGAGGAGTGGGAGGGACTTCCCTCCTGCAGGCAGCTGTGTCCTGCACGTCCCACAGAGCTCAGTCCAACGCCAACAGCTTTTAAAGACAGCTGCCTCCCCCTCTGCCCTCCCTGGGGGGTTTTGGGGGTATCAGCCCCTCAGTGCTCAGCATCCCCCTTTACCTTTCTTCTCAATAGCTTCCACCAGCTTCACCAGCAGCGGCGGTGCAATCTCCGGAGGGCTGAACTGCTCTTGCAAGTCTGGGAGAGGAGACCCTGGCGGGGGAGAGAAGGGATCAGCCCCAGCTCAGCCCCCAGCAGACGCTCTGCAGTGGAGCCAGGCTGGGGCACAACCAACGCTGCTCCCAACGGCAGCGTCCGAGGGCGAGGCAAACCGTGGCCACCGCTGCGAGGCCACAGCCCAAGCAAACCCGGCACAGAGGCTGCGGGGAACCCACGAGCTGGGCCACAAACTAGCACGGCGCTTTGTTGAGCCCAGCCTTGCCCCGACCCCCCCGCCCCGGGGTGTGCACGGGGGATCCCCACTGCTCCCTGGCTGGGAGGCAGCACCTATCTCCGTGGGGACCCCCAGCACCCCCGTGCAGGGGTGACCAGGGCTCCCAAAGCTCAGGCTGGGTTCAGTCCCTGCCTGGCCCAGGGGCTGCCTGCGCAGGGCTGGTGGAGAACGGCCAGGGAGCTCGCTCGTGGTGGTGAGCTGTGATTAATCCAGCGATTCAGACAGAACGCCATGTCAGCAAATTCCTGCCCTTGATTGCTCGTTTAACATGGAAACCAGCCCTCTGCCTCCCCCTCCCCGCGAGCCCACAGCCTCCGAGCAAGCTGGAACAGGGCGCAGACAGCCGGTGGCACAGGACTGGGGTCCCCCCCTTCCTGGGTTGGGGGGGAATCTACAGCCCCACACTGGGTGGCATTTCACTGCCAGTTCCAGAAAATCTTGAGGTTCTGGCTCCGGGCACCCCCCCCTTTCCCTGCGCTGGAGGGGTGACGCATGCCGGGGCAGGAGCACGCAGGCCCGGCCGGGCAGCTGCCAGCGGGAGCTCTGCCGAAGGACGAGCGGTGCCAGGCCCCGTCTTGCTTCCAACTGAGCACCAGCCGGTGCAGGAGGCTCCTCGGGGCTGGTCCCCAGCACCGGGCAGCCCCTGTGGGGACCCCACGGTGGGCGAGGACGCTCAGCACGCTCCGTTCTGGGGAAGGACGAGCCAAAAGGCAGCTCCCTGTTGCGAAACACGACTCTGTTATCGCGGATCTGACCCGAACTCGCCTGGTGTGGTCTCGCCACGAGGCGCAACAAGCTGAAACTCCGCACCGGGCTGAGCCTCCCGCAGCCATGGCGTGGAGGGGAGACGGAGCAGCTCGTGTCGGAGCAGCTGCGGAAAGGGGCGCAAATGGAGCAGGCACCCAGCGAGGGCCTGTGCTGCTGGGGAGGTTGGGGGTGGGGGGCAATCCCCCACCAGAGAGAGCCCCTGAGCACAGAAAGGGGCCCAGCGTGGTGCTGGTCGGGGTGGGGAAGCTTGAGGCAAGCTGCCAGGCTGGCAGCTTCAAGCCTGACCCTTGGGAAGGGCTGAAGGGAGAGTAAATACTGGTGCTGCCCACGTGGCCTGGCCCGGAATGTGCTGCTTCAGCAGGCAGCAGCTTGCCTTTTTTTATCAGGCAGCCTGTGCCGGAGCCAGCAGCAGCTCCTGAGCCTGCCGGGCCTCGGGGCTGGGCTGCCGTGAACAAGGCTGCTCACAGCACGGCCGGGGCAGCTGCGGAAATATTTCCGAGCCGCATTTTCCGCTTGCGTTCTCTGCGGAAGGCAAACACCAGCAGCTCGTAAATTCACCGGTAGAAAGAGCTGGGTCTGCGAGGCCGGTCCTGCGTGATGGCTGTGGCACTGGCCCTACTCCACGTGTGACACTGGGGGGGTTCAGGGATCCCTGGACAGGACCCGGGAAACAGGGCAGATACGCCGCCGGCTGTGAGCTTCGTGGGGCAGGCAGGAGCTGTCTCTGCACCTCCCAAAGCGCAGACCACGAAGAAATAACACGGGCTTGGCTTAAATACAGTTTCTCAGTTGCAAAAATGTGTCTCCCCACCAACATCCCAGCAGGCTGCGTGTAAAATGGCCTCGAGCGTTTGAGTTGCCAGGCTGCAGGCCCCGGCTGCGCCCAAGGTGGAGGCTGGCCGTGGGGCTGCACCCACTGGGGACAGGCACAGGGCTGGAGCCTCCCCGCGGGCCCCGGTACCCGATCCCCCGGCAGGTCCCAGACATCTGGCTTTTGGTTTCTTTCCCAATCACATCTTTTCTGCGTGGCAGAAGGTTTGGCATGTATCTTCTTCCACATCCCAAAAGTCCCCACACCCCTTGCGCAGGGCGGCAGCTTTGAGCACCCAGACACACCTCCAGCAAGCCCCGCTTGAGAGGAAGAGGAGCAGAGAGCCCACGAAGGCATAAATACAGCCCCCGAGGGAGTGCAGGGCTGGATGCAGGCAAGGCCGACGCATCCACCGCAGAGCATGTCCCAGGCTCCCAAGGGGAGCTGCTTTCTTGGAAAGGCAGGTTGCGAGTGGGATGACTCAGGTCAGCGGCTCTCGCTGCCAACCCAAACGCGCGGCCCGGCCGCGTTCCCACCCTGCGGAGACGATTCCCGGGGCCACCCCTCCAGCTCTGGGAGAATGGGAGGCAGCTGTGGGAAGCTGCACCAGCCCTCACCACCCTGGTTTCTGAGATGGGGGCTCCTTTTCATTCTTTAAGACCCCAGAGGTGTTTCACACAGCTAGAAGCATCTGATGGGACAGCCGTGGCTTCCCAGGCAGAGGGGAGACGGGGAGGATGCAGGACGGCCAGCCAGGAGCGTGTTCTGATGCCCACCAGCTCCTGCTGCTGACCCCAGTCCTCCAGTGTGCACCAGCACGGGTTCTGCAAGGCACAGGAAGGCAAAGCATGGCTATCACCCCTATTTGCCATCTCGGAGCACCTGGGGACTGCTGAGCCCCTTGCCACAGGGTTTAGTACCCAGGAACAAAACAAAAAAAAATAGGCAAAGAGAAGGCAGCTGCCGCAGCTCTACAGGCAGCACTGAGGCACGGGGCTCTCCCAGCTCCCAGAGTGGGTCCGTGCCAAGCCCAGCGCCGGCTGGGAGGCAGCCGCAGGTGCAGGACGGCTCATGCCCTGCCCGAGGGCAGCCGCCCAGCCCCAGCGAGAGCTCCGCGATCCACGGCGAGGGACGGGTGCCAGGCAGACAAGCAATTAGCTCCAGTTCTCGGAAATACTCTTTTAGACCCTGACTTTTCTCCTCTTGCCCAGAGACAAGTAACTGTGTGTCTCAGCAGGGCTGAGCAGCTCTTGGCAGGGAGCAGTGCCCCGGGCACTCCAGAATCAGAGGCAGGGAGGTGGCTGGGAGAGGTCAGGACTTTTCCTAAAGGGAGGGAGCAGGGCAAAACCCTCAGCGGAGTAGGGAGAGGGACTAAGGACCATAGGGGTCCTGGCTGGGTGTGGGGCAGAGAGGGAGAAAGATCTTGGAGAAGTAAAAGCAGGACAAGGCTCGCCCCAAGAATCTCTGCTGAGCAGATGGATAAGCTGGAGGAACAACCTCCTTTTCTCTTGGCCAGGACTGATCGTGAGCCCACAACCCCCAGGCAACTCGACTGAGCTGCTGCTGGCGGGGCAAGACAGTGGCTGCCGAGTCGAGGGCTTCACCGCTGTCCTGCCAAGCCACTCACCCCCCCCTCGTCTGCCACGCGCCACACAGAGGTGTCTCGCAGCAACCCGGCAGGCAGCAGGACTTTACCTTGCTCCAGAGCCTCCTGCAGCCGGCAGCCGCTGGCCCCCGGCGTTGCGGGCAGGGGTCTCTGCACTCGGGGCCGGTGCGAAGGGACGGAGATCTTCACGGGTCCCACGTACTCCACGTAGGTGCCGGGAAAGTCGCCCTTCTGCTTGGTCCGCTCGTTGACACCCAGGATCCACCCGATCTGGTTGGGGGTCTGCTCATCCCCATCTTTGAAGCCCAAGGCTTGCAGAGCCCCCTTGCTCACCACCAGGATGTCCCCAGGCAGCAGATCAATGTCCTCCTCGCGCTCCTTGCGGTAGGGGTAGAGCGCGCGGTACTGGAACCCATCGGTGCTGCCCATTCTCTCTGCTGAGGGGAGAACGGCTCTGAACAGCGAGGCAGCGTCTTTTGGGCAGGAGAAGAGGGATCTCAGAGGCAGCTCTCCCCCATCAGCACTCTTAATGTCTCTGCGTGAACCAGCAGCCCAGCAGCCTGGTCTGGGTGCCCCGGTGCGCTTAGGTGCAGCCCCTTTTCCTTAGCTTGAAACCACGATTCAGCCAAATTATGGAGCAAAGGGAGAAGGAGACAAACATAATCCAGCACTGGTGAGCGGGCATGCAGCAAAGAAACGGGAGATCAGGGTCTGCTTCACCAAAAAAGAAGCAGGTTTCTTGGAGTCCGGGGGGCAAAAGCACAGTGCGCTTCCAGCCCAGAACGGCGTGGCATGCTACGTCTCCCTTCCCAGTGCCTGCAAAGAGAAAAAGACTTGTCACTGCACAGCCAAGCACCCCACACCCTCCCGAGACGCCAACATTCAAACTAGGGGTTCATCTGAGCAGCTGAGAGAGGCAGGACTCGTTTCTCTCCTACCTACCAGCTAACGCTGAGCCCTGGATTCAACCAGGACATGCTAATACCAATTTACACTCCCAAAAGCAAGAGAGGATCTAGCGGCTGCGGGCAGGAACGCCACCTCCTCTCTGCTACAGTCAGGCACCAGCTCTGCATCTTAAAGAGGTTCACTCCTGCTTCTTCAGCTTACCCTCCTCGCAGCACTTATGCAAACAAGAAGACAACAAGTGGGACAAAACAGCCTTTATGCAGGAACTTTTGCATAGAGAAAAGGGTGACCCTGCAACCACCAGCTGGAGGCCCTGAACAGGAGCAAAACAAACAGATTTAACCTCTTCTCATTAAATTGATTAAATTTCACAGTTCACCTTTACATCTCCCCGTGCAATCCCCCACAAAGTCATTTTCTGAAGGTAGCTGCCCACAAATGTAGGTTAACCAAGCTTTCAGCGAAAGGCTTTTGAGATGCTTTGCCATTCCCACAGAGCAGCACTTCAAAGCTTTGCTCTGAGCAAAGTAAATTTTTGAACTTTTCAAAAGCAGCAACAGCATCAAGTGCGGGCACGGGTTCTTTTTGCAGAGATGGAGGTGAGAGGAGTTAAAATAATCTTTAGAAGCCTTCAAGTCTACTGAGAGCTGCTAACTGCCTTTCAGCTATTCAGAGAGAAATTGAAGAATATGCTGCCTGTCCTGCCCAGAAATCCACCAAAAAGAATAAACCTGGGTTATAACATGTTGTTGAAGGGATGTATGAGCTGGGGCATTCCCACCAGCCCAGCACGTTCTCTTTTCCCATCCCCTCCCAGCTGCACGGGCCAGTTTTCCACCTCCCCCAGGCAAATCCCAGTGTCCCAGTTCCCGCAGCCACGGCTGCAACCAAGGACCAGATCTACAAGGCACCGGGGCAGCCAGAAACCAGCCTTCCCAGGGACACCCTCGGCCTGCTGAAACGCTGCAGGTCCTATTAACAGCTTGAGCTGTTTTGGCCCAGAAACCACCAAACCCAGCTCAAACTCTTGAGTCTCATCTGAAAACTATTAGCGAGCAGGAAGACGCTTTTCAGGGCTGCGTGAGCCTCTGCGGAGGGAGGCGAGGAGGCGAAGGGAGCCAGGGCACCCTTCCCAGCGAGGTCAACGCACAACCAAGCACGGCACGAAGCCAAGGCTGCTCCGACCGCTGGTTGGACTCTGCGAGAGGCACTAATTGTTGGTGATCTGCAGGATTTCAGAATAACCCTTTCGGGCCAGTGACACGTTAACAGTTCACATCAGCTACAAACCCCTCTTCCCTCCCACACGGGCTACCACCCCTGCACGCTACCAGAGAGCCTGAGATGGGTGCGAGGCACCTGAGAGAAGCCAGCTTTGCCTCTCCACAGCCAGGCTCCCCAGCCCAGCCCAACGCTGCGGGCTCCTTCCCTTGACAAAGAGGAAAGGCACAAAAAGGCCGTGGCACATAAAACCTGCGCAGCAGCCAGGGCCTGCGCTAGTTGCTTGAGCTCAGGCAAGTGTCCCAGCTGGGCTGTCTTCGCCATGAACCAGCAGGCACTGCCCTTGGGGAGGTAAGACACTTGCAGCCAGGCTCCGGTGGGTGGGGAACAGGACTGAGCCTGATCTGGGTCACTGGAGAGCTTCTCCAGAACTCCAGGAGCAACATCAGGCCGCAGAACTCCCAGAGAAACCTTGGGGACAAGGCGGGGGTTTGCAGGAGGAGCAGCACATCCCAGCAGAGCCGCTGCGCGAGCTCCCGTGCCGGGATGGCGGCCGCAGGGAACTCACAGCGGAGCCTGCGTTTCCCCAGTCCAACCAGCCCCGGCCAGGAAAATATTACTTCATAATCCAGAGCATAAAGAGAGATTTATGACCAGGCTCACTGTCTGCCCTCGCCCCTCTGAATGCTGCCTGTCAGGGTCCAATGGAACTGAGTCGACAGCGCCGGGGGCACTGCCTGACTGCCAAGGGCCCGAGCGGCTGCTGCCTGCTGGGAAAGACGCCGGCAGCTCCCACTCCTCCTGGAGCGGACAGACCCCGTAATGTACCCAGAGACAGCAGAGCCCAAACCCAGCAGGGTCGATGCTCCCCTGAAGGCACCTCCCCAGCTTCCACCCGCGGATCCCAGCCCCAACTGCAGACGCCTCAGACAAGCCGGTGCAGCCGAAGAGGCTGGAAGGACAAAACGCTCAGCCCTGGCAAACTCGTTCAGTAGCTTTTAAAAGCAGACCTGCGTGGAGGGGTGGGAAGAGTTGTTCTGGAGCACTGAGTCTCTCCAAAGAGCAGGTCCCGCAGCTCCTACTCTGTCAGCTCCTTCCAGCCTCCTTCCCTGCGGTGGGAACGCAGAGACGCAGCTCTGTGTCACCCCGTTCTCCCTGTCCCAGCGGGACACTGGGCACGTAAAAAAAGCCCCACAAGTAACTTAGAATCAGCCTGGTCCTGGAGCAGCCTCACCTGCCTTCCCTGTCCTCAACCCCTATGGGAATCAAGTACCCACAAACTGGGGCGAGGAGCCCCCCGGGAAACCCAAATCCACATGGTTAACGCTGGTGCCGTCCTCTCCAAGGGAAACGTCCTTCTGTCCCACCACAGACCCGGCGAGCGGCTTCCCAGGCTGAGCTGTGTGTGCGGGACGCCCTCAGGAAAGCTCTGCACCCCACAGAGAGCAACTGAACAAACTGGCGTGTCTTTGGGGAGAGGGAACACACATTTCCCCCGAGCCCTGGAACAGCTCTTTGGAGAGAAGGCGAGTTGGGGAAGGCAGCGCCGAGAGCCTGGGACACGCACGAGCCTGTCGGCTGGAAGCACGCGGAGCCGGGGCTCTGTGTGCGCAGGAGAGAGGGAGCAGCTTGCCAAAAGATTTCAGCTGGGCTCGGCTCCAGGTTCGCTCGGCTCTCGGAGAGGAACCTCGTGTGTCCGCGCTGGCGAGCACTTGCTTAGGCTGCTCTGAAAATCCCATGCATCAGACATCTAAATACCTTTGGTAAATCTATCTCAGTGCCCAGAAACAATCCCCCGATTCATTAACTGCTGTCAATACTTTCTTTGTTTAATACATGGGTTTGAAACAAAAAACACATTACAAGCCTTTTTGTGTGTGCCCAGCACATAAATAAAAGCATCTTAACGTTTTAAATGTGGTTCCTGTGCTTTTTAACCCAGTTCCAAATGCAGTTCAAAGTGCAGCTTGACTTGAAGCAAGACAGAGCGTTACTTTCCCTCCAGTGAGGCAAAAGAATGCAAAAAAATATTTAAGAGAAGAATATGCTTACAACAATCTACACAGCTCAAATCTTTCCAAGTTACATCAGATCCTTAGCGAGCAAAAAAAAAACCCAGCAAATCAAGTTTTGAACTGCAGAATGCGACATGTTAGTGGATGACAAACAATGAGAACAAACCTTTCCTTTATTAAAGGCAGAAAATGGGACAATGGAACCAGGGATGGAAATAAAAAAGAGATGTGGAACCACCTGCCATATCGTGCCCTATCGTGACAACTGCCGAGTCCTGGCGCAGCCGGGGCAGCTCTGGCGGCCTCACACCCCGCTGGAGTGGCGGGAGCCGGCGGTGCCAAGCACATTGTGGGTCACGCTGTGCCCACGGGCAGCATCGGAGTAAGGAGGGCGAGAGCTTGGCAACCCCTGGTTTATAATTTGGGACAAAGAGCACAGCAATCCCCTGTGCTCCCGGGCAGCTTCCCGGGCCGGCTCCCTCCCTGGCCCTGCCGAAGAGGCTGAAGGACAACTCACAAAACTTGAACCGTGAGCGAGGCCGTGGAGGAGCCAGCAACGCCACGACGAGCTGCGGAGGAACGGGCCGGGCGAGCCCGCAGGGAGCTGGCGCGGGTGGGAAGCGGAGCTGGACATGCTGCCCCGGGGAAGAAGCCAGAGGGGTGGGGAGAGCCAGAGCCGTGCTGGGGGCTCACGCTCGCAGGCTGGCGATGGCCACGGCACTGCCAAGCCGGCTGGTATTTCCCTCCGAACAGGGAAAAGCAGCAGGGGAGGCGAGTTATGCCGTGAGCTGAGCCCAAGACAGGCCCACTGTCCTGAGAACGACTGCACAGCAGAGGCACAGGACAGTCGAGGCCGTTTTCACCTCTTTTCTCACCAAGAAATGCCTCCCATGCAGCTGGCAACAGAGGCCGAGGAGTAGCAGCATCCTGCCCACCGCCACCAGCTGCCCTTTGCCAGGGGTGCAGAGCAGTTACTACTCACACTTGAGTTTCATTAAATATTTTGCTTTATTCACTGAAGCCCAAGGAAATGAAGGAATAGCTGAAACATTTCACTGAAAAAGGAAATGTTATGGTTAGCAGGGACCTGAGGACCCTAATAAACTCCTGCCTTCGGATGACCAGTACCTTCCTCAATTTTGAGAGACAACTGGAGGTCTCAGCAACCTCCTCCTCCTCCAAGGCTGGACAGTCCGAGAATGCTTCAGGCAATCTGCAACCCTACTCCAAGACTTCTCTTACTGTCTGGAGGCTTCTCCTGATGTCAGACTTTCTTGCTACACTCGAAGCTTGTCCTGTCTTACCCACCTCAGAAACTTTCTCCTCCTCCCTGCAAGAGCCTTTTACTTGGCCAGAGACTTTTACATGCACCCTGTACCAGCACCATCGCCTCACTCCAGGCTCCTTTACCCCCAAGCAGCAAGAACACAGTACTTCCATTTTAGGAGCATTCACAGTGCTGAGTTTAGGGACTTTTTTCAGAAATAAACCCAGGAGCTGTACTTTGTCTACTTCCCTCAAAAATTACAGTTCTAAAAAAACTGAGTACATAGAAAAAAAAAAATTCCAACTGCTCTTGCTAACTTATCTGCTTAAAATCACATTCCCCGGGGTATTTGGAATTTATACGACAATTTATTAGCAGCTCTGCACAGCACAGCAATCACATGAAGTAGCCTACAAGGTGAGAAGTAACCACATTAGCAGGCCAGATTTATTCGGGTATTGGTTGAGAGAGGCAAGACCTTCCAACTTGAGAAATCCACTGTCCCTTCCTCTGTTTCCTTTTTTTCTGTCCCTTCCTCTGTTTCCTTCCATTACTCGGTTACTTTAGCTCCAAGCTGTGGCTCCAGATATTCCCAGAGGAATTAAAAGAGCCCTCGATATTATAAATACTCTTTTTCATTGTAAACACACCCCAGCACTCGGAGCAAAGTGCCGGAGCTCTGACACGGCTCCAAACTGGCTCCACAAACCACTCTGCTCCTCACCACATTCCAGCTGAGCCGCGGTTTCTCTTCCAACCCAGAGCTTTTATCCAGCGAGACCCAACTGCGGGCAGAAAGGATTTTCCTGTGTGCTTAAAACCTTGTTATAGCGAGTTAAGAAAACGAGGGTTTGGGGCAGCGATCACCTTTAGGAGAACCGAAGCCTTGCCACGAACCGCACAGACGGACCAAAGCACGATCTGCCCACGTCAGAGAAGAGTCACCAAAGAAACCAAACCATGGCTTGGACTTTCCCACATCATGGAAGAGTCGATGACTAGAGCAGAGGCCAACCCAGCCTCGGGGACACACCAGCCCTTCGCATGTTAGGGAAGGGCGGGGGAATGGCCAGGAAAGCAGTGATTTAGGCTATATTTACTCAGCTGTCTCCATTCTCTGCTCTCACAGAGAAAGTCACAGGGCCAGTTCCCCAGTGGCTTTAAGAGCTACTCGGGAAATAAAAGCCGTGCATTAATGGGGAGGAGAGGCAGCCATTCCTCCGCCAAGCTGGGCACGGGTGTCGAAAGGCACGATGCTGGTGCTGCTCCAGCTCTTTGCAGCTCCCACAGAACTCATTTTAGTCTGGTTTTCCCCCAGGTTTTATTGCCCACTGAACGCAGACCCTCAGTTTGTACGTGACCACGGGAAGCTGCTGCTTCAAGGGGCCGATTAACATCCCGAGGATTGGAAGAGACACAGAGCACAAACCTCACTGGAAAGAGGGGGGCTGGCCACTGCCCCAGAGCCAGGGTTTGGGGGCAACTGTGTCGAGATGGCAAAGCCTGGACTCCGACACACTCAGAGGGACAGGGGCATCCTTGGGCCATCCAGCCCCAGCCTGGGGTCTGCTGGGGCAGAACCACGGTGGGGCCAAGCCGCAGTGGGGCAAAGGGCCATGGCGGTGGGGCTGAGCCCCCAGCCCAGGCTGGAGCTGTACAGCCCTGACAGGCTGCTTCCCTCCAGCTCTGCCCCCAGAGAAGGTGCCCAGGACCCCCGACAACGGGGGCTGCACCCTGCCAAGGCGGAGGGGTCCCGGCACCGGCCCCACTGCAGGAAGAATGGCGCAGAGGTGCCCGTGCTGGGGATGGGGATAGCCTGGGGGGATCGGGACGGGGGGGTGCAGCCCTTGCACAGGGTGGGGGACAGGGACAGCCCTGGCACCACGGGGCGGGGGACACCCAGCTCTGACACAGGGGACCTGCCCTGGCACCTCGGGGCGGGGGGTGGGAGACACGACAGGGCCAGCACGGGGGTGGCACAGCCTGGGGGGGGTGTGCGGGGTGTGAC